TTCAATTGGATTATTTACCTTTATCTTGTTGTGGTGCCTCAAGTATTTTATAAATTCTAGATATAAGTCCCTTATCTGCCATGTCATTGCCAAACACTTTTTCCCAGTCTATGACTTCTCTCTTGACCCTGTTGGAGAAGTCTTTGGATGTGCATAGGGATTTGATTCTTAGGAGGTCCCATTCATCTCTTTTATCTTCTCCTGGTTGTAGATTTTTCAGGATACCTGGAAGACTGTTTATATTGTGGATTAGGACTACTAAAGTTCTTCCAAGCTTTTCTTTAATGAAGTTTATAGTCCTTGGTTTTTTGTATATGGAGTGAGGTGTGGATCTTGCTTGAGATGGGACAATATTTAAAGATGGGAAATAACTGAATATATTTGTATAGTGATGAGAGGAATGACTTTGCCATGCATTTAGGGGGGTAACTGAAAGATACTATTTTTTTAGGAACCTAGAGAGGGTGGAATTCAGAACCCAGATAGAAAAGATACTTATCAGTTGTGTTGAAGAAAAAGGAAGAAGATACAAGGTAGTGTAAAGATGCTAGAATTTGAGAAAGATTCTTTTAATTTGTTGTGGTTATTATTTTGTAAAAGGCTTCATTTCACATACTTTGCGGATGTTGTTAGGAGGCTGCTCCTTGAGAAAAACCTATGCTTGGAAAATGGATGATCAGTGAAAGAGAAAAAGACCCTCAATGAGATGGATTGACACAGAGACTGCAGCAGTGGGCTCAAGTGTGATGATGATGATGGCACAGGATAGGACAGGATTAAGATCTGTTGTCAGGACAGAACCAAGGTCAAAGGGAGAACAAAGGATTCAAGGAATAGCATGTCAACAAAGGAAGTGAACAGCTTCAGCTACTTTGGAGTGCCCCTCCTTCCCTCCCTAGAAGACTACCCACCTGGCTAAACCACTATGGAATGTCCCTTCCTTGCCTCCCTAAAGGCCCTCACTATAAAACCTCCCTAATCCACTTTAGGGCGCAGTATTTCCCTGGTCTGTCCCTCTGCCTGTTTCTCTGCAGACCAAGGAATCCCGCGGGGAGCCCCCTTAATAAAGCTTCTTTAGCTTCTTTCTTTCTCTCCCTTCTTTGAGTCCTTGGCCTTCCGTCCAATGCGAAGACCTAACATTATTCACAGGATTGCTATGAGTTATACTCAACTCCATAGCACATAACAATATGTAGAGGGCTAATCAGCGACTTATTCATTGCAGATATGTTTTATAAGAAACAGAAATGCAGGTTATACACATGGATTACACCTGATGGTATGCATAAGAATCAGATTGATTGTGCTTGCTTCGGCAGCACATATACTAAAATTGGAACGATACAGAGATTAGCATGTCCCCTGTGCAAGGATGACGTGCAAAAGTTGTGAAGCATTCCATATTTTAAAAAAAAAAGAATCAGATTGATTACATCTGTGGAAAGAACCACTGGCGAAGCTCAATGTCAGCTGTGAAAACTAGGCCAGGTACTGATTGTGGAACAGACCACCAACTTCTCATATACAAGTTTAAGCTGAAGCTAAATCAAGGAAAATGAAATCAAATCCACGGGAACCAAAATAGGACCTTGAGTCTATCCCACTTGAATTTCAAAACCATCTCAGGAACAGGTTTGAGGCCTTGAACACCAATGAGAGAAGACAAGATGAGTTGTGGGAGGAAATCAAGAGTATCATCCAGGAAGAGTGCAAAAGATTATTACAAAGACAGAGGAGGAAGAAAAGACAAACATGGATGTCAGAAGAAACTCTAAATTTTGCACTAGAGCACCAAGAAGCCAAAGCAGGGGAAGAATTCAAAATACTAAAGAGCTGAATAGAAGATTTCAAAAGGCAGTGTGGGAAGACAATGTAAAAATATTACAATGAAATGTGCAAGGAGCTGGAGTCAGAAAATCAAAAGGGTCGAACTCGCTCAGCATTTCTTAAGTTCAAGGAACTGAAGAACAAATTCAAACCTCGACTTGCTATACTTAGGATGCTTTGGGCAAAATATTAAATGGTCCAGAAAGTATTAAAAGAAGGTCAAAAGAGTATACAGAGTCACTGTACCAAAAGGAGTTGGCAGGCACAAAAGAATGAAACAATGTATGAGTAAGAGCCTGTGGTGAAGACTGAAGAAGTTCAAGCTGCTTTGAAGGAATTGGCAAAAAATAAGTTCCCAGGAATTGATGGTATACAAATAGACGTTTTTCAACTAACAGATAGTGCCCCAGATGTGCTCACCAAGTTGTGCCAGGAAAACCACTTGGTCAACTGGCTGGAAGAGATCTATATTTGTTCCCATTCCAAAGAAAGGTGATCCAACAGAGTATATAAATTATCGAACAATATCACACACAAGCAAGATTTTGCTGAAGATTATCCAAAAACGACTGGAACACATCAGCAGAGAACTGTCAGAAATGCAGGCTGGCTTTAGAAGGGGTCGTGGGACTAGGGATATTGTAGCTAATGTTAGATGGATCTTGGTTGAAAGCAGGGAGTACCAGAGGAATGTCTATGTGTGTTTCATTGATTATGCAAAGTTGTTTAACTGTGTGGATCATAACAAACTGTGGCTGACTCTGCGAAGAATGGGAAATCCCAGAACACTTGATCGTTGTAATGTAAAACCTATACTTGGACCAGGAGGCGGTTGTCAGAACAGAGCAAGGAAACACAGAATGGTTCAAAATTGGGAAGGGCATATGCCAGAGATGTGTTCTATTTCCATACCTTTTCAACCTGTATGCAGAACAGATTATCAGGAGGCTGGGCTCTATGAGGAGAAATACAGCATCAGGATTGGTGGAAGTTTCATCAACCATCTGCATTATGCAGATGACACAACCCAGCTTGCTGAAACTGAGGAGGACCTGAAGCGCTTGCTGTAGAAGGTCAAGGACTGCAGCCTTCAATGTGGATTGAGACTCAATATCAACAAGGCAGAGATTCTCACCACTTGGCCATTTGGCAGCATCAGGATGGATGGTGAAGAGATTGAGATTGTTTACAGCTTTAGTTTGCTTGGCTCCATAGTCCACAATCTTGGCACCCACAGCCTGGAAATTAAAAGATGTATTGCGATGGGAAGGTCTGCTGTTAGAGACCTCCCCCAAAGTACTGAAGAGCAGTGGTGTCATACTGGAGACTAAGGTATGCCTAATACAGGCCATGATCTTTGCAATCACTTGTTATGGATCAGAGAGTTAGATAATGACTAGGGAGGATAGAATGAGAATTGCTGCCTTTTGAGCTGTGGTGTTGGAGAAGAGTATTGAATTTACCATGAACTGCTAAGAAAATGAAAAGGTTCAGCCTGGAGAGGGTTAAACCAAGCTGCTTCTTGGAGGCAAGGATTCTGAGGCTTCGTCTGACATACGTTGGACATATTGCAAGGAGGGACCAGTCCTTGGAGAGGGATGTCATGCTTGGGAAGGTGGAGGGACAGTGTAGGAGAAGAAGACCTTTATAAGGTGGATTGATTCGGTGACTGGGGTAATCGGGGTCGGTATGTCGGAGACAGTGAGATTGGCACAGGATAGAGCAGGGTTTAGGGCTGTTGTACAAAGGGTCACTATGAGTAGCAGGTGACTCGACGGCACGTAACAGTAATAAGGCCATCTATCAGAGGGAGTAAGGGGCATATGAGGTTTTAATAAAGGCTGGAGGAGAGAAGTTACGTAAGTGTGGATGGAAGAGTGAACCAACCAAAGCAAAATGTGATTGTGAGACTGAATATAAAAGACTTGTTCCTGGAAATTCAGTTCTGAATTTAAAGTGAGATTAGTGAATCCTATTGTGATTTTTCTCCTCCATGTCTTATGCTTCAGTTCTCCTTTATTCTTGATGGCTCCTACTGGATGGCTGACATAATTTTCCAAGACATATACATGCATCCTTTGAGTTCTGTAAAGAGTCTTTATTCTAGTGGTTATCTCAGCTTTTATATTCAGTGGAATGTCACTCAGCACAGAAATGACTGTAGATGACTTCCTATCCAGAGAAGCTTCATTCCTCAATTTCTTAAAATTTCTGCCCAATATTCTTTGTTTGCAAGTATCTCCTGCCCCATCCTGCTTGGGTTTCATTAACCACTCTGGCTGCTATTTATGAGCAGCTGTAGAATATTAAAAAGGAATGGCAAAGTGTGTCATGTGTTGGGTTGCTTAGCAAAATATCTGTAGTTTGAATCCACCAGCTTCTCCCCTGGAGAAAGGTAAGGTAATCTGGCCCTTAAGATTTCTACCTTGGACACCTAGTGGAGGCTACTGTGAGTCAGAATCAAGTCAGCAGCAGTGGCTTAGCTTGCATTGGGTTTTTTAAAAAATCATAATGGGTATTAAGAATTAAAGGAAATTTTATACTCATTTAGAAAATCCTGGCTTTACAGATTGTTCTTTTTTAACTTGTAAGCCTTCTCTCAGCTTTTATGACTCTTATATATGCTTATTAGTCATTGAGAGTGCTATAATGTCAACATTCCCAATCCTGTGTGAACATAGGACCCATTTTTGTATGTACCCTCAAATTGCATCTGACTGATACAGGAGGAGATTGCCCCTCCTTCTCCAGCAGAGCTTCTTGTGGATTTGAACCACATAGCTCTGGGATTGCAGTGCAGCTTCTTGCCACTAGGCCACCAGAGCTCCCTAGGATCCATTTTTTACAAGCCCTCTCTCTCAGTGGATTCCTTTTATAGAAATATTATTTTGTGCAACAAGGTTTTAAGATACAAAAACACAAATGACTTCAAACTTCTACTTCAAACGTGTCTTCACTTTGTGTTTATGTCAGAATCAGGATCATTATGCAGTTCTTGGACTTGGCCATGTAAGATACAAAGCTACACAGAGACAGATCAAAGCAGCACGTAAGTACCTTGTTTTTTTTAAATAATAAAATACCTGGCATAAGAAATGATACCTTTTTAAGTGATATATAAGATAATAATAAGCACAGATAATTTATAACTAAAGCTTTAGATTTGTTAACATAGTTATATTGTCAATTGCCATAACAATGTATAAGCATAGTTGTCTTTAATTTTAGAGCCAGTAAAAAAGGTTTATTAGACTTACATATGAAATTCTTCTTATGGATATGAAATCAGGCTTTGTTTGTGTTTGTAGCAGGATAAAGAACATTCTTTCAATGAGTTTTTTGAAAAATACCATTTCAGCTCTCTTTAGAAGTACAAATAACTGTACTCAGTAGAAACCGTTGTATTACTTAAACGGCTGATTATTTTGTGATTTTATTTTTTTGCCTGTCCTGGTCACAAAAAGAGGATTTGGGGTTTTTTGTTTTGTTCTGTTTTATTACTTTGTGTGTGTGTGTGTGTGTGTGTGTACTGTCAAATCAGATCTGACTGGTACAGGAGGAGATTGTCCCTCCTTCTCCAGCAGAGCATCTGGTGGATTAAAATCGCATACTTCTGGCTATTTTGTGATTTTAGATCACGTCTTTATTGATACCACATTTTCTGTTTTCCCAAGAAAGTTTATCTGTTGTTGTATTATTATTTTCATTAACACAGTTAACAGTAGACATAGTTCTGTATTACACACATGTTCAGTTCACGTGATTGGCAAACTTTAGAGAAAGGGGAAAGGCGATTTGTTTTCTAGGAAATGGATATTGAGGTCAAGAGATAAGATTCTGGTTATGTGGAAATGGATAGGGAGACAATAAGGAAGATAGTTGATTTCTTTGAATCGTATTAGTAAAAAATATTGACTGTACCATGGAATACCAAAAAAACCCCAAATTTCTTGAAAGAAATGCAGCTAGAATTCTTTTCCGAAGCAAAGATGTGAGATGTTTTCCATACCCTGGGGATGCTATCAGGAAGAGCCTGTCCTTGAAGAAGGACAACGTGTTTCAAAAAGTGGAGGGTCCCTAAAGGAGAGGAAGATCTTCAATGAGATGGATTGACAAAGTGATTGCCACAGTGGGTCCTGGCAGGATAGTACAGCACTGAGCAGAGTTTCATTCAGTTGTCCATAAGGTGAGTCAGCCAGCTCGGCTGCACTACGACACTGTCATGTAAGCTGAGATATTTTCAAGTGAAAACTTTCATAGCAAGCCGTTTTAAAATTAAAAAATCCTATTTATGACCTTTGTGCAAGATTAGTAATTTGAATGTCAAATTAAAGCCACTTTACTAACTGTCTTCATAAGAAACCTTAGTAATTATATTTGGGAAGCACAAGGGAGGAAAGTCTGAATTTTCAGTAAAAATAGAGAGCTGATCTCAAGTTACCCTTGTTTCTTTTTCAAGCAGTGTTCTCTGAGCCCTTAAGTTTTATGACTTGCCTATCAATAATAACAAGCATAGGAAAATCTCAGAATTATTCAGTATGAATGGCTGCTTAGAAATTAAAAAAATCAACAGAGAGGGGGAAAGTGCAGCATAAGAGGAAATTATCCAACAAAAAAAACTGAAGATAACAACACCTCTAGGACTAATTTATCATAAGGTTCAAAAGGAAACTGGATAACTGTTTTAGGATACAAAGACATTGCATTGGGGGGCAGAATAGACATTGCAGAAGGCCATATGGGGAGAAAATTTGGAAACTTAAAATATAAGAGGATCAGTTAAAATTACGTTTCCCTAAAGAAGTAAAAACATCTCCCACCGCTCTGCTGCGGGTCCCAGCAGCACGGTGGCGGGCGGAGATGCAGTGCCAGAGCAACCCAGCTTCGCGAAGTCTCTGTGGGCGCTGCGGCCTACAGGCACCCGGCACGAGTCCTCCCTGCCACCAACATGCCCAAGAGGAATGCAACATTCCATGGGGGAAGGGGACAGTTTTTATATCCCATAATACATAGTATACTTAATGAAAATTTGGAGTCATAGTCAATGCATTTATGACTTGAACAATTTAAATTAAGTCTATTTTCCATATTTTTTAGATACATAAATATAAATTCTAGTAAAATTTCATCTTAAACATAACCACTCCCTCTTCATGGCTTCCTCCCTGTCAGAACTATGTGGATTCTGTAACATCTTTGGTCTTGGTAGTCAAGCAGTTTTCCTAATAACTTTCTTATGTGCTGTGAACTGTTGAAAATTTGAATGTGCAGTGTGTGTGATAGTAAATTGTGAATTAGTAGGACTTAATGATGTGACAAATTATCAATTGAAGATATTGGTACTTATTTTCTTCTTTATGAAAACTCTCCAAATTTAAAGCTGGAAGGTCACTGGAATTTAGAAAAGAATTATAACTACATGGCTTTTGAGATTTTTGGTATGTGCATTAAGAATTATGTACAGATTATTCATAATGTCTCTGTACTGGCCATTAAAACAACCAATAAAATATAAATCATGAAAGAATATTTTCATGTTTGTTGATTAAATTCTGGTTTAAGGTTAAAAAAAGGAAGTAAAAACAAATGAACAGTCTTGCAAATATGTAACAACTCTCCTGATTTAAAGAGAGATTTACACCTTGAGATAAAGTATTTTCATCAATCAGTGGACATTTGACATTTCAGAGGAGAAGCTGTGAGTGAAGACGTGCTGGACGGACTCTGTTTTGGTAGCAAAGGTGAAAGAGCCTTCAAAGAGAACCTCGGAGCCTCCCTGGCCACCCTGGCTCAGTATCTCCAGCGTGAATGGCAGTGGTTATGTACCACCATGATGCATGGAGCATCGTGCCTCCAAACTATCGGCCTGGCTACATAACCTCTAAACTTCATCATAAAGAGATCCCGTGACGACCTTAGCCCTTTTATTTTCTATGTTGTGCACTTTTGAGTCTGAATCAACCTATAGCTGACCTTCCAGTCAGTTTGAGAAGCAGTAAATTGCATAGGAGGAGATTGCCCATCTTTCTCCCACAGAGTAGCTGGTAGATTCCAATTACCTACTTTTGCATTGGCAGCTCAATTCCTTACCACTAAGCCACCAGAGCTCCCTTTTTTCTTCAAAGACAAGCAGAAAATGTCTCTTTTTTTAGTATTAGTAGAGAAACTTATATACCTTGTTGTTGTTGTGAGGTGCTGTCAAGTCGAATATGACTCATAGTTCATCAGCCTTATAAACAGATCTGAACCCTGTCCTATCCTGTGTCATCCTCACAATCTCAGACATACTCAAGCCCATTGCTGCAGTCACTGAGTCAGTCCACCTGGTTGTAGGATTTCCTCTCCTTTTCTGTTTCTCCACCTTTGCGAGCATGATGTCATACTCCAAGGAGTAACTTCTCCCAGCAATATACCAAAAGTTTGTGAGATGAAGCTTCACCATCCTTGCCTCCAAGGAGCACTCTGGCTGTACCTTCTCCAGGACATGTCTGTATTGGTGGTCCATGGGATATTTTATATTCTTCTGCAGTACAGTTCAAAGGCATCAGTTCTTTGTCTGTCATCCTTTAGTCATACCATATGTAGGAGAAAAATCTCTTACCTGCAAAAACAAAAATGTATTTGTCCAAGCTTATGGCTGTTGTATATGTGGAAATGACTTGATAATAAGTCCGTATTTTATTTTAAAAAATTGGAAACCACTGAGATGTCCGGTAATAGATTAGGTAATGCAGACTGCTGTATCTTGGCATAATGAAATTGTGTTCAGTTTTTTAAAAGGAGGAACAAGTTACCAATATGCACAAGAATGGTATGTTACCATATATATGTTACAAGAATGGTAAACCTTTGACACCACAGGCATGCAAAAGAACTCTTTACCAGAGTCGACTGTTCCTCATAACATCCCTGGAGCATGAAGTAGAACTTCCCCATAGGTTTTCCACGGTGGTAAATCTTCAAGGAAACAGACGGTCTCGTCTTTCTCCTGCACAGTGGCTTGGAGGCCCAGTGCTTAATGTGCTGTGCCACCATGGCTCCTATGCAAAGGAAGAAGATGGAAACTGGTGTAGAAGACAGAAATGTTTTAGATCACTCTTAAACAGAATGAATTTGGAAAAGGCGGCTTTGAAATTGAAAAAGGCATCTGAGGATTACAAGGCACATGAATTTTTTTCACATGTTCAAAAATTCTCATGTTGAATATAAACTATTTGAAATAACTTCTTTTGTGAAGTAAATGTAATCATTGCATAAAAACCTGGCAAAGAAATCTTTTAAAAATCTCATTCATGACTAGAGTACCGATATCTCACTTAAAAATCACAAATTGAGTTCAGTAAAACATGAAAAGAATAATTTCCACAAGCAAGTAGGTTTTCTTTTATCTGTTTATAGCTTAGGTAAAATGATGTCTGTGTGATTTTTCTGAGTATATAGAACAAAATTTAACACACTCCTTTTTAATAAACAGGTCATTGAAAAGGAGTAAACACTTGTACAAATAGTTCAGGTCTGTAGCCAGCAGACTAACCTTGCAGCACTAGAGCTATTACCATTAAAATCTAGACGGAAACTGGCCTTCTCACTCTTCTTCATGCTATTTTGGAAGTTTGAGTTGGTGAATTAAGTATTAAGAAAACATACTATTAGAAAGAAGGAAAGAAATAGATGAAAAAGGCAGGTATCTGTAAATTCTCTCAGCCTCTTTGTAACCTCTCCATTTAGTAAGTACATGTTTTGTCGTGGAAGACAATATTTTGAGACTAGCTTATTCAATTTAGAAATGGTCTTTGATCATCTTTATTTTCAGGTTGGTTGCTTAAAATGACAAGATACTTAAATCTGACTTATTTTGTAGACAAAGCAATGGTTTTAAAACATCATCCAGACAAACGGAAAGCAGCTGGTGAACCAATAAAAGAAGGGGATAATGACTACTTTACTTGCATAACTAAAGGTCAGAAAACCGTTGAGAGTAAGAAATTTCTAATACTAATTATTAACTCTTTGGATTGGGTTTCTTGTGAATACTGTAGTTCACTTAACTCAGCTGTAACATTTTTTATTGCATCAGGTTATTTCTCGTAGTCTTCCTAGAACCTCGTTACTCAAAGTGAGGACGTCCACAACCAGCCACCATAGCAATGCCTGGCAGTGTATTACAAATGCAGGGTCCTGGGCCCCAACCCAGATCCTCAGAGCCTGCACTTTAATATGATCCTCAGGTGACTGTTCGGAGAAACTCATCCTAGACTTGGTTTATCTAGGCTTTATATTTAATGATGAGATGGCTGATATGGACCTTTCCTCATCGCAAGTGATTGGTGTCTTAAACTCTGATATGTTGCTAAATTTAAATCAGTAAGTGTGTGATATCATAGTATTAATTCACAGTTGCTTATGGCTGTTTACATAGCCATGCAGCCTTATTAAGCAAATTAATTAGGGTAACCTCTATTTCTAAGTGATTAATAGGATTTAACATTTCAGTGCGAGTTTTTGAAAACTCATAAGCACACCTTTTGAAAATTGAAGGTCGAAATCCTTTGATCTTTTACAGTGTTGGGATCTAACAGTTAATTTTCTACCTGTTTTCTTTTCCCCAGAATAATCTCTTTTCTTGAAGGGGACTTGTCATTTATTTACCAGGAATACTTTCCTTAGTTGTTAAATGTGATTGTAGCTTTCCTAGAACTTTTATTACTTAAATTAAATCTTCACTACCACAAACACACATTTCTTTCAAACAATAAATATGAAAATTATCAACTTTTTTAAAGGGAAAAATATGCATTCTCACAGCAAAAATAATGTACAGAGTCATAGTGATGTGACTTGTAATTCTTTTCCTTAGCTTATGAAATGTTGTCTGATCCAGTGAAAAGACGCGCATTTAACAGTGTAGATCCTACTTTTGATAATTCAGTTCCTTCCAAAAGTGAAGCAAAAGACAATTTCTTCGAAGTGTTCTTCCCCGTGTTTGAAAGGAATTCCAGGTGGGTTAAGATACTGCATTTGGTCGTGATGCTCTTTTGCCTTGCTTCTCATACTCTTTCAAGTTTCTGCTTTTTTGTTCTGTTAATAGTTTGGTTTTTATTGGAAAATTTCCAGTCTCTTCCTCTTTCTCTTTCTCTACAATACTGAGCCCTTCTGGTGAGCATACTGTTCTTTGTTTCTTTTGCGGTTTAAACAGAAGTCTGCCTTTCCATTGTGAAATTCCTTTAGAGCTCTAGGATGTTTTTTTCTTTGTTTTGCTTTTCCTCTGGAGGTACAAAAAGCAGTGTTTGTGTATTGTGATAGCAAGACTTAGGTGACAGTGACTTTCTCTCCGTGCAGCCCCTCCATTAATGAGTACACTGCTGCTTTTGGCCCACTATCAGTTAAGAAAAACTTGTGTTATCTTCTTTGAGCATCTGATTATCATGTGCTTTGATGAAAGATGCTTTCTAGGTGAGACTAAAACATACATAATTTCTTTCATGAAAAGCCTTTCTTCAGTATAGTGTACATTTTTGGCTTCATCTGCAATGGAAGGGATTTTTGCTTTTGTGGGTTTTTTTAAGAACACATCTTGGTTACACTTTGTAATCATGTGGAGAGATGAACAACTGATGTCTGGATTTTAGTCCAGAATTTTAAGATTTTATTTGGTTTGGAACTGGCATAGGGATTTTTTGGTTTTAATACTGTTTATTTTCCTTTTTGTTGACATATACACAGCATAACATACACAGTTCGGTTTTTCCATGTGCAATTCAGTGACATCGTTACATTCTTTAAGTTGTACAGCCATTCCTCTGTTAGTGTAAACTCACTACCTTTTTAATTTTTTTAATCTTTGGAGTTGCTGTTGTCAGTTTGATCCCATATAGACTAATTTTAAGAGTATAGTTACTCATGGCAGACCTTCTTTACTATTAATAATTAAGCTAGACTACTGTTTGGTTTTAAGACTTAAGGGGATATTTTTGTTTTAAAGATTTATGTTAGGGCAGTATCTTAGGAGTTATCTAGCCTCTGTGATTCCAGAAAGTCTAGCTTCCATGGGAACTTTAAATTCTGTTCTATATTGTCTCCAAAACAAGCCAACGCCTTTGAGCAGACTTAAACCCTAGGCAAAGGCTTGGGGACACTCGCTCTGGGAGTGTGGCTTTTTGCTGCTGTGGTTACTGGTCCAAATGGGCAAGTGAAGGGAAAGTTTTGGAGTTGTGTGTTTTTGGGGGGTCATGTTTGATGTGTATGATTGCTCTTTCCTCCCCAAGAGCAGTATCCCTGACCCTTTGACTAGGGTTTAAGTGCGCTCAAAGGTGTTGGCTTAAAACCTTGCAGGGTCCTCGGGCCACAAATGTGTTAATTTTCGAAAGAATATTCCTTGAATGACACAGCAGTCTTTTGTCTGTTTGCTGAACTGAACAACTTGGTGTTGCTGTGACACTGCAAATTGTTCCACAGTTTCGTTAAATACCATGATGGTTACCTGTTATGTATAGTGTTTGGATGAGCTTCCAGATTGAGTTATGCTCAGAAGCAGCAGTGGCATCCATTTCCTAAAACTAGATGCCTCTGGAAACTACAAACTCTCTAAACTCTTTAAATGTACAGAAATGATGGTAGTTACAGAACAGAGTTCTGTACAGAAATTACATTAGTCATAGAACAGAGTTTAGGTCAGTCGTATTCAACTTGACGACAACCACTGTTAAGTGAAGCTAGTGCATCTGTAGGAATACTCTTCCACTTTGTACATCACTCTTTGTCAGTGTGTTGTATGAAGTAACCTGGGTTGGCTGTGATGTTGAACCTTGTGCTATTGCGGTATCAAATACCAGAATGGCTTCCCATGTGAACAGTGTTTGGTGGAGCTCCCAGTTGTAAAACAGGTTTGGAAGCAGGAGTGGCATCCACTTCCTAAATCAGATGCCTCTGGAAACTCTATGAACTTGGTGAAATGATGGCAGTTATGGAAAGGCATTAGGTCTTTTTGTTCATAGAATCACTAGAGTCGCACTTGACTCGATGGCAGTCAAAAACAACAGCATATGGTTTCTACTTCTTCCCGGGAGATTGTAATGTGTAGGCAGGTATGAGAACCTGATAAGAAACTTGATGCCACTTAGTCATCCCTCCGTTTTTTTTTTCTCCTCATATTTGTTTTATAATATTGAAGATGATAAGAAGTGTGATATTGGGTTGGTTTGGTTTTGGCTTTTTTAAATGGTCTCATTGAAGAAAGCCTGGATCATTAGCAATCTCGGGATTCTTTTCAAAGGTGATGGATAAATGCTGTGCCTAGAAGTCTGTCTGGAGGTTTGGTGGGAGAGGTGGAAAGATAACAGATGAAGGGAGGCATCTGTTCCCTTTTCTGAGTACTAACAATTTCTTACAGGTGATGCCTACAGTTAGCATCGGTGCTACTTATTTAGAGGCCAGCAGTGAGGTTTTGGTTTTTTTAAAAAAAAAAAAATAAATTAACCTTTCCTACCCAACTTAGCAACTGCTACAACTCTGTACTTTAGAAAACGAAAATAGCCTGGTGGTTAGGACTGATGCACCCACACGCTCCTTTGTCTTCTCTTGTTTTTCCACGTTGTTCAGGGAACCACTCTTGACTTCCCAGATCTAGATTTCTTAGTTTGTGGGGGAAAGAGACTTAGCATAATTAGTAAAAATGGTTTGTTTAGCTTTTGTTTCCTTTAACAAATTAAGACTTTCTTACACTTTTATACAAAACTTCTGAATCAAATTATTCTTTCAATATTTCAGATGGTCAAATAAAAAAAATGTTCCTAAACTTGGTGATATGAATTCATCATTTGAAGATGTAGATGCGTTTTATTCCTTCTGGTAAGTCAGTAAACGGTTTTTATGGTGCTGTCATTCATTTATTTATTTACTTATTTTTTATTTATTTATTTTATTCTTGTCTTTATTTCTTTACAGGGAGTGGGGTGGGGATAAGGGAAGAGATATATATCTTTTATATATAGAGGGGAGGGGAAGAGAGAAAGGGTGCTGTCATTTATTTTTAAAAGGATAAATATTTACTAAGTTCATGATTCATTGCCAGTTGTCATTTGAGTCCTTTTCACTTCAGGACAACCCCATGAATGTCAGATTAGAACCAGGTTCCATTGGGTTTTCAGAGGCTAAATTTTTGCAAGTAAATCACCAGGCCTTTTCTTTGAGGCTCTTCTGGGGCACCCCTGGCTGATCTCCAGCCAAGTGCATTGACTGAGACATGGAAAGACTTCTTGATTCACTAAGTACTACTTTAATTGAAGGTCAGTGGGTCTGAGAACTTTAACTGACAAAGGTTGCTTTGTTCAGAAACTATTGAAAGTTTTTATATAACACTATATTCTGTGCAATCTTTAAGCTTTTATTATTTTTTTAAAGTCTCTTAACCAGATTTCTTGGTATTATGGCACAGTATAATCGTTCAAAATGAAAATTCTGAGTTATTTGACGTCATTCAGTGACAAGCAAGGAGTTTTCATTAGCTAGCTTCTTTTCAAAATTTACATGTGTTCGTGAAGGAGACAATACTGTCTGTAACAAATCTATTTTTTATAGTAAAAATTAATGCCCCCTTTGTATTACATATGGTATATTTCTCATTGTGTCTAGTAAATGCAAAAAAATTGATAAGCCACTGTAGAACAGAAATTATGACATTTAATTATATCAGTTTAGTCACTTGGAGAAGATACAAGCCAGAAACATAATAGTCATTGGAAGAGCTGTCCTACTATCTTGAGTGTTGCAGTTAAAACTCGCATGATGGTTTAAGTCAGAACTCAGAAGCATGGAGGTTTAAGTCCACCCAGAGGTGCGTCAGGAGAGGCCTGGCAATCTACTTTTTTTTTTTTTTT